TCCTCTTTACAATAGGTTGGTGACGTCGTCTCACCTCACCTCGTCGGCGATTGTGATTCCTCGAAGATTTAGGGTTGTGCTCGGTGATTCAACAACTAACTGAGGTCTAAGGTTACGTGGTTGTGTTTGGTAATAATGGAAATAGAGAATATATTGTTTTTACAATCAGATAAGCCTTCTGCTAACCGGTATGCCCCCTCTTCTCTTTTTAATTCGATCACAGCTCCGTCCTTACCCTTCTTCTTATTATTATTTTTTGGCTGATGTTTTACCTTAAGGAATATACTATGTAGGCGATGTCGGGGGCAAAGAAGGAATTTCAGCGGTGGAACTTATTCCATCTGATGGAGAAGATGCCTAAAGAGGGGCATTTTCAGGGGCATTTTCGGAAATATGAAGTTTTTCCAATATATCAGAACAGTTAGTCTTCCAAAAATTCATAGAGGTACTTCCATCTGGCATTCTTTTTTTATGAACTATTACCATTTATCAGGGTCCTCATTTATGTATATCGCATGGGAAATCTTGGTGTTGTTTTGATGTGCTAAGACAATGGGACTTTTGACAACAAAGCATTGGAAGATCTTATATGTCCCTCATTTACCTGTGTATGTGTTGCTATGCCCCATTTGAGCCCGACTACTTTGTAGGTTGGCTATTTGTTGTCTAAGCCTGATCAATTGGCATGCTAAAATCTTTGTTGATGCCTAATCAAACCACATGTTACTACTCATTAATAGTTAGACGTGATCAAAAAACTTAGGAATCCTAATTTAAATAGATCTTTATTGCACACCAATTGTTTGATGATATGCCTTAGTGACAATGTGTATGATTTTTTTCTTCTTATATGATAATCAGCAATCTTGCTGCTATAAGAGAGATGATCGGATGGCTAAAGGTAATTAAGAGACATGATTAATTATAGAATGTTGAAATAGGACAAGAAGAAGAAATTGTTCTACATTCCGAATGCTTTATGTATGTTCTAGTTGATTCTCAATTTGGGATCCCATTAATGGATCTCAACTATAATTTGATAGTGGTCATTGCAGAATGTTTTTAGAATAAGAGGAATCGGAAAGCTTGATAATTATTATTCTCATGTTTGTGTGTATGTATACTTCATGAATCATGATTTATTATTTTTCCTATATTTCTTATGCATTAATTAACAAGTCTGACTTGTCAACATCTGTAGAATGCAAATGATCCCACAATAGGATTCTTGTTTGATGGAATGGACCATCTTTGCTAACTAGTATGAAAATACATTGCAGGTGAAGCTTTAAAGGTTTAATTACCTTTTTGCCCTTAACAATCGTTGGGTAATTATACTAAACAATCGTTGGGGAATTATAATCATCAATCGCCATGTGGTTAAACTAGGTAAGATGAGAGCTTTATTATCTTATTCTTTTATTGGGTTTCAAAGTTTTCTTATTCTTTTATTGGGTTTCAAAGATTCAGAGTCAGAAGCTCAGAACTGGAGTTTACTAAAACCCGGTTCTATTTACTGTCAGCACCCCATTTATGAATGCCCTGTTCTCTCCAATATTGAACCCAAACAGATCAAAGTTTGGTTTTAAGATCAATGGTATGATTATGAATATAGCAATTTTTTCTTCCAAATCTCTTTTCAAATGGTTGTGTAGGTTTAACTTTGAACCTTGTGGTTGTTAATGATCTTTACAGATGCAAGGAGAAAAGGGGGAAATAGGCTTCCCATCTTTAGTTTCTGAATCCAAAGCTTTTAATGGAGGAAAATTATAGCTTTTAATGGAGGAAAATGATAGGTTGCAGAAGCAAGTGTCACACCTGTATACATAATGTTTGACAATTTTATTGATATTGTGGTAAGCAATAATGAATCAAAATTACACATATGATGGATTGTACAAGGTAGACTAATAGACACTTTGGGATTTCTTTTAGAATAAATAGGTAATAATTTTATATAAACATTAAAATTATACTTGTTTTTCTTTTTCAGGTTGTCAAATATTGGGCAGAAAAAGGGGTTTCAGGTTTCTATGTTTACAAGTTTCATCTCAAGCGTATGGAAGGGCAGCCTTCTTTAGTGATTGACATGGCTAATTTGTTGTTTTTAATGTTAGGATGGTATGTGAAGACATCAGTAGAGGCCTTGATAATATTCCCATTCCAGCAACAAATTTAGTTGATGATCCACCTGTTCCCCCAACTGGCATGTTACTTACACTGCCTCAATTTTTTTTTATTAAATTAAACTACATCCATGATCCATGATCTATGATTATGATGATGTGTTATTAATTTTTTTTATTGCAATGTGAATGTGATAACATGACAGGTTACAAGTATATCAAGTATATTAAAGTTTCAAACAATGTTGTGGTCCCTGGTAGTGCCTCTAGATGCACCTGCATTAAAGAAGGCAGATATAGGAATTGCCATGGACTCAGGCACAAAGTTGCAAAGGTATGTTCGATGACTTTTTGACTAGTCAACTCTTTCTTATGTTGACTTTATGGTTATAATATAGCAAATTAATAATAATTATTATCAGAGTGCTTCGGACGTGGTTTTGACTGATGACAATTTTGCTACAATAGTTGCAGTAATGAGACTTTTTAAAGGCCCATAACATATCATTAGTTTAGTATATTTATACCTTTGTATGGTTGGGATATTGATCATTTAGTTGGATCAAATATAGTCATAATAATGTTTTATAGTGAACGAAGTCTTGAAATTGAGCACTTTAGTAACATTGACTCCATTAGACTTTATAGCATATCCAGAAATGCAAATGTTGTTTTCCATCGTAATGGCCCATAGCATATCAGATTAGTATAGTATATTTATGCAGTTATAAAATTATCATAGGCTAATCGACACTCTTGTTTCAATTGGTTGTTGTTCTGTTCCAATCCACGTGAAAATAATGTTATGTTAAATCTGTTTATTGTGTGAAATTAATGCTACAACATATCATGAATGACTTAAATAGCAAAATTCATAGCATACTTTTTGTTGTTTTTACAGTTGATGAACGTTGTGATATGGGGTTGGATGAAAAGTTGCTGGATAATCTCACCTCTCAGCCTTCTTTGAAGTCAAGGGGTCCAAATACAGGTTACAAATCTTCTACAATTACAGACAATGGTCTGAGCGTTTTTCTAGTAAGTGTGTGTGCACGAATTAACCATGCTTTGTGCTAAACCTAATCGCTTGGTGTTAGTATTTACAGAATTTTACTGTCTCTGTGGACGAATCAGCTAAAGACATGTTATGTTGTATACTTTTATTTTCCCAATGCTATAGATCTGATTTTCACTTTCTGGAATGTTTTCTGTTCTGTGATGGAATTATTTTCCAAAAATACCCCATGGATTGGATCCTGTCTCTAGTATGTTTAAACAGGTTTGTGATTTAGGAGTTGGATTCTATTTTTTTAAGTAGAATGCAATTATTTGTATTTGTTGTCATCTGTTTTTATCCTTTTGACGCAATGCAGCATGTTGCTGCTGAAGGCACAACCTTGGTCAAACAGGCAGAAGATGCTGCAAGTAATAAGAAGGCAGAAAAGAGATTGCAGGTTGATCCTGCTACGTGGCCAACAATGATCTTTAGGTTCTGCTAGAAGGATTGGAGATTGCAGTTAAGCTTCTATCTAAGACTTCACGCCAAGGACTTGATGAATTTAAGATATCATATTTTGGCATGGCTAGAAGCTTTGGAGCAAACGAGACTCAAGCAAAAGTAAACACACAGAGAGTTGTTGGCACATAGTAAGCTAGATAATGCAATTGTATATAAATGAGTTCATTTTTTTATAACATTTACTCACCATTGGAATAATAATTTGTATTTGACATATTAGTGAAACGAATTATATTTGTTATTTATGGTATTTTATTTTGTATTATGAGATTTATAATGTATTATTTAATTTGAAAATTAGTAAATCTATGAATAATATTTTTTTTTAAACATTTAAAATTATGATACGCAAAAATGTGTGTCATCTTCATTTATGACATGACCTTTTTTGACAGGGGCTTTCTTGATACGCATTGCGTGTCATTAACACACGCGTCGTCTTTCTTTATGACAGGACCTTCCTTGATACGCATTGCGTGTCGTAATTGCGCGGTCGTAGATGAGCGACGTAAATGCGCGTCGTCTATAGACGACGCGCAAAGCGCATCGTCTCTCTTTATGACAGGGTTCCTTGACGCGCATTTACGCGTCGTCTGAGCCTTTACGACGCGCAATGAGCGTCGTAAAAGGCTGTTTTTCTAGTAGTGTGAGTTTGATTCCTAAGGAGTTTGAGGGCTAAGCACCAATAGTGTGAATGCCCTCAAATGGAATCACAAATCACCACAAACTCTTGGAAAACTTTGAGAGAGTGTATACACACTATAAAATCGGTCACACACAACACATATACTAGTTCCACTAGTGGCTATTTCATGCAGCATAAGCATGCTTATATAGTGTACATGATTAGCGTGAAACCCTAATAACCCATGACCTTTCCTTTTCCAAGGATCCATGGTTTTACAAGCTCCATGGATCATCCATGGACTTCCATATAAGCCTAGCCCATTAACTAATGAGTATTAGCCCACACTATATAAAATATAAAAGCCCCCAATTTAATTATTCTTCCTTTTAATCTCTAAATTAATTCATAATTAATTTAAGACTAAGACTAATTAAATAACATGACTTCATATTAATATATTATAACTTATAATATATTAATAATCATATGTGTATAACTCTCATAAAATTATCCATAAATAGTTTGGATGAATGCAACCCAAATGGACCATGTCGGGTCAGGACAAGTATATAAAATAAGTTATAGACTTAGACACCTTATCCAACAGACTCCCACTTGGATAAGTCTAATAACTGTATTTGCGTATGTTACTTCAGGAACCAACCAACAATCGTAGCTCTTGAAAACTCTGTTGAACTATGAAGCGCCATTTTAGATAAGTGATCATATAATCCTCTGTTCTCATGATATCAGCCGGAAAAATACATGGAACAACGTCGTACTTATTGTCCAGCAGTTTGTTTCCCGATTTTCGATTTGTTTGACAAAGAACTTAATCGAACACATCAATTTAATACTGACCGGCCGGTACATAGGTCACAACAAAATCATCGAGGGGCCCAGATATCGCTTCTATTTCTAGAAGGAACAGATAAACTTTGACTCATATACTTGTTCTACTACTTGTTGAATTGTACACAAAGGCACGTTTTATAACATCAAGTTACTGATGCGTTTACGTGCAATCAATGCACAACCAACTCATAGGTAACAACTCATATCTCTAGGTTTGAAGATTTATATGATATTACCATCTCACGATCACTCGAGATAAATTCCATGAACTGATACAAGTGAGCGTGGGTTTATTCCAATACTCATAACTTATGAGCACTCATGAATGTTGTAGCAACCATTGCTATGGCTAAACCCATTTAGCCATCTACAAACCCGATTCATGACAGTCTTGATTCATACCTACTTCCAATATATGAACGACTGTGGAGTGTTTAAATAACTTAGTCATTCAGAAAGAATAACCTAGCTATTTTGGAAGTCAAAACATGCAAAGTGAAACACAATAATAATCGAACCCAATATGGTCTCAGAACCCTTTTGAATATAAATAGAACCACCTTTTATTTATCACCATATTTATTACACATTATTCATTGTATAATGTTTCAAACAATCAACTTAAGACTTGAATAAAAACAACAGTCATCCCATGCTCCTAGCATGTACACTTTGTTTTCTAAACAATAGTTATGCCATACACCAAGTATGCACACTATGTTTGTCTATGATCCTTACATTGTGATGTAGATCAATTGAACATGATTCCAATGATACTCATTTCACAATCCCAAATCCTTATTGTAAATGTGAGAATCCCCGATTCCTATCATTTACCAAAAAAATCTGTTAGATTTTAAACTTTTATGCATTGTTCCTCTTGTAATGATTATGCACAACGTCACCAAAACCTTGTCACCAGTCATTACAGAGTATTCCAAAGAAGGTCAACTTCTATGGAACGGAAGTCTCATATTCAAAGTAGATTGCTTTGAACATACTTCTTGCATTAAGTTTTTCTAATGTTACGCAGATTGAATAACTTCCTCCTATGGAGACATTTCCATAGTCCCATTTTGACTATCACTTCTGAACAAGAGTTACCTCTTTTCAGAAAAATGTCAATATGGTCCTTTCCGACAACTTACATCATACTTCCAACTTTCCCTGAGCAACCAATCTTTGGCAAACCTCAGATTGTCCTCGACAATTGCTTAATCACTTTAGTCATATCCAGTTCTAGACTTTTCCCTTCTCAATGCCTTAAGCATTTGGAAAATTTAGAAAAGATGAATATTATAGCACATGCAATCGATCCTATATCCGAAGCATATGAGACACGATTCATGATGTGTCACATAAAGACATGATACTAGACCATTCTTTTGCTACAATATTTTTTTATTTGCCATGTTTTCAAAATTTAACTATGAAGAGGGATGCCGTAGTCATAATTGAATTTTGAGAACGCAACATATATAGAATTTCCTTAAGTTGAACCATTTAGACATAAAATTCATATATATGTCCTTGACTAAAGATGATTAAAATCTCAATCTAAGCTTTGGAATTCAAATGAAGTGTAATTTCCTCTCCCTTAATTATAGCAAAACAACTTTTCAACTCCCGCAACTTCACAAATTGAAACTTTGTTTTCTATAATTAACATTTTCTAACTTGCAATACTAATCATAATTATCATGCTCCCACTAACATGATGATTATTAGCATAACACTTATGCTCCCACTAACTCTGACATATTTCCAGAAATCTGCTGGACTTCTGAAATTTAGATTCATACACTCTTTCTTAGATAGCTCACATGTGTGTCTAAACAATTTTCAGAACTATGAAAAGGGATGCCGTAGTCATAGTCTCAATTGGTTAGGCATTTTCCATTTCTCACAAGTCCATGTTAGTGTGCCAGTTAACCACACACGCTCCACTAACGACTTTTGAAAATGCAAATAACACAATTGATATCTACGTAAAATCTACTTAGTGAAAACGTTTCCTCACCATCATTTTCATGAATCGGAGAGAAACCTTATGACACTTAGATTTTATAGTGTATGAGTTCCTATCCATGTGAATTTGTCAAAACCATAATCAGAAGATAAGGTTGGTGACAAATTCAGCCTTACATGGATTAAACTTGTTCAATCTTAGTTTTGTGTCACCTTGGTAGTACAAGGCCCACCAATGCTTCCAAGTTGAACTCTGATAACTCACATGCAAATTCAACTTAATTGAAGTAGGTACAGAAATAAGAATTATGTCAACACGATAGGTTGCAAACCTTAAGTCGTGTACTAGTGATAAATTATAGGTTTTACTCTTGATTAAATCTTGAAACTTCTTTCAGGATCTTTAAGGCTCCCACTGTCCCCTTGACATATAAGTTTCCCCAGTCAAGAACCATTCCTTGACAAAAAAAATATTCAAGGGATGGTGCGGATTCTTATCAAGACTAACACTTCACATAATTGGTCTTAGTTGGTCTTTGTCTCATCCAAGACATCACAACTTACCAATCTCAAATGTACAAGAGTAGAAAACATTTTACTCTTACATTTGACTAGTGTTAATAAATCTTCCTTTATGTCACTCAAGGTTACAATCTTGGAGTATGACTCTAAGAATTGTTTTTGGAACGAAGTATGACTCATCTTATTGATTTTAACCAATCCAACAATTAATTACCTCTCTTCTTATCCATAACAATGCACTAAAACGTCCTTAGAGTATGAATTTGTGATATGGTTTCATAATTATTAAGATGATCATGAAATATGATACTAAAGTACTCTCCCATCCTTTCAGATTTGAGAAACTTTTATCTTTCTGCCTAATTTGATTCTTCTCATTTGTTTTTTCATACATTGTAACCTTTCCAATGTTACAGAATTATACTTAACCTTATAAGCATGATCATATTTACTAATCTTTAGTAAATCATGACAAATCAATCTTTGTGGTGGACCTTGACCAACGCACACCCAGTGTACCTAATTCCTTAGTCCTTCAATTGACTCACATGTACATGTGATCAAAGAATTAGTCTTAATTTTCAAAGATGAAAATGCTCATTCATCATACAATACAACTTGTATGATTCCAAGTTTCTGTCCAATTGAAACTTGGGTGATGAAAAACTTTCTTCATTTGGTAAATTCAGACACTACCACAAATGAAAGAATCAAATCGACTTTCCAATATTGCTATTACTGGAAACATATAAGCAACAATTTTCCACAGATGCCATTGTAAGGATATTTTTTTAAAATAAATAAAATTAAAACCCTTTTTTTCTTTTATTTTAAAACTTTGCGGAAAAACTTATTCTTACAATCCACATGAAAACCTTGTTGTTATCTATTCATAAGCAATATATTATAACTCTTAAGCAACAACTCAAAATTCTGATTACCGAACCATGCGATCGAAACCCACCTTCGCAATCAGAATCAACATATACTTACTTTAAGCTTCCTAT